GGAGTGGGTGAGACTGGTCCCCGGTAAAGAGAGGCATTAAGAAATTTGTCATCTGGCTGGGCACTGGTTGCTCACGTCTGTAATCCTTGCTACTCAGGAGGCAGAGATCTGAAGATCTTGGCTCAAAGCCAGCCTGGGCAGGAAAAGTCCGTGAGACTCTCATCTCCAATGAACCACCAGAAAATGGGAAGTGATGCTGTGGCTCAAGTGGTAGAGCACTAGCCTTGAACTGAAGAGCTCAGGAACAGTGCCCAGGCCCAGAGTTCAAGCCCATGACCAACCAAAAAAAAAAAGAGAAAGAAAGAAAAGAAAAGAAATTTGTCATCTATTTTATTAAACTTCTTTTCTTTTCCCTTTACAAGCCTTCTCCAAACCACCACCCTACCGCAGCAGGAGTTTCCGGTTTTCCCTGTATGTGAGAGCCCTGGTCAGAGAGAAAAAGTCTGGAGGTTAGAGAACCTTGAGCCAACGCTGGGCGTCAGTGGCTCACACTTGTAATCCCAGCTACTAAGGAGGCTGAGAGCTGAGGATCTCGGTTCAAAGCCAGCCACGGTAGGAAAGTCTGTAAGACTTCTCTCCCACTCAAGCTCCACTGCCGGAAAAAAAAAAAATCTCACAGCCAAGTGCCAGTGGCTCATGCCTGTAATCCTAGCAGCTCAGGAGGCTGATTGCTGATGATCTCGGTTCAAAGCCAGCCCAGGCAGGAAAGTCTGTGAGACTCTTCTCCAATTAATCACCAGAAAACTGGAACTGGCACTGTGGCTCAGAGTGGTAGAGCTGAAGAGCTCAGGGACAGCATCCAGGCCCAGAGTTCAAAGCCCATGACCTGGGGGGCTGGAGGGGAGGAGGAGTCTCACAGACTCCTGCTTGGGCTGACTTTGAACCACAATCCACGGATTTCAGTCTCCTGAGTAGGTAGGATTACAAGTGTGAGCCACAGGGACACAGCTTAACTAAAGCTTTTAGAGTTGGGCACATGGCTGAAGTGGCAGATGACCTGCCTAGAAAGCTAAAGGCTCCAAACTCCAGACTCCCAAGTAGCTAGGAGCTCCCAGCTCATTCATTCCTTAGCGACGGAGGGTACTGGGGTTTGAACTCAAGGCCTTGCATTTGGTAGGCAGGCACTCCACTCCCTGAGCCACACCTCCACACAAGCTTTGTGCTTGTGAATTGGAGCTAAAAGTCTCATGGACTTTCCTGCCCAAGCTGGCTTCAACTGAGGATCCTCAGATCTCAGCTTCCTGAATAGCTGGGGTTACAGGCATGAGCCACCAGTACCCCTCTGGGTGGGGTCATTTTTAAGGGCCCAGTTGGGGACTGGGGGGTGAGGGGCTTTGACTCACGAGATGAGGATGGCCAGGAAGACCAGGATAGACACAAGCACAGACACAGAGATGCCGACAAACTTCATGTCACTCTGATAGTTGCTGTCCTTGTACTTCAGGGTCATGCGAGGCTGTCTGTCCACTGGGGGGGGAGGGAGGGCGAGAGAGCCCCTTCCTTCTGTACTCACATTCCCCTCCCCCCTGCCCTATCTTCTCTTAGCCTCCCACCCCAGGGAGGGACAAGGCTGGGCTTCAAGGTGTCTCTACACTTGGTCTCCAGGGCTTTGACAGTACCATTGGTGGGTGGGGTGTATGTGGTGGGTGTGTGTGTGGGTGTGCGCATACACTCATGACTTGCCAACCCTATAGATGGCCTCAGGAATAGTATTTTGGGCTGTCTACTCTCATCCCTCAAATTCCAGGCTTGAGCCACCATGCCGGGCTGGCTTATGACTACCCAGTGACTCTCAGAATGTGGGAGCAAATTCTTGGCCATGCTGTAAGCCATTGGTTAAGGGCAGAACCTCAGGCTGCAATGGGGAGCCTCAGGCCTGGCTTGCAGGGGGGTGTGGCTCGCAGGGAACATAGCTGTCCACATCCCTGGCCCATCAGTTTACCAAAGCAGTATTTGTTCCTGATACACATGGAAGTGATCTTCTGGCAGTTTAAGCAGTCCAAAACCTCTTCTTTGAGCAAGCCTACACAGGGGAAAGGGAGGATAGGCAGAACTAGCAGGGGTGGAAAGGAAAAGAGATGAGGTCCCCTTGGACCCATGAATTTTGTAGGAAGCGCAGTGCCTGGCAGACTAACTGTGGTCAAATGTACTGACAAGTCCCATGAGAAATAATGGTGTGTGTGTGTGTGTGTGTGTGTGTGTGTGTGTGTTGAGACACACTTGAACTGGAACTTGAACTCAGGGCCTAGGAGCTTCTGGCTTTTTGCTGGTTAAATGGAGATAAGTGTCTCAAAGACTTTTTAAAAAAAATTTTGGCCTGGACTAGCTTTGAACTGCATTTCTCAGATCTCAGGTAGGATTACAGGTGTGAGCACCAGCACTCAATAAGAGATGTACATCTTGTACTAGACTTCAGAATGTAGGGCTTATTCGTTGGTGAAGCATGTTCTAGCCTATCCTGATTTGCCTTCTGGAAAATGATTTCTTTGCACATCCAGTTTAATCTGCTTCTAAAAGGCAGGCTTTGAATCTTCAGGAATCATGGCTTTGGAAGGCTATGTGATAGCTGGGCTGGATTGAGGGGGAAGAACAGGGTAAAAAGGTGCAGGATGGTGGAGAAGGGAGGAAGAGACGAAAAATCCAGGACTCACGGCACAATTTATGATCACAGGCTGCAAGAGACAAGAGTCCAGGTGAGCAGGGCTGGGATGGGGGGTCTGACAATTTAATTGGGGAGGGATGGATCTAGGAGGGGACAGTGCCTCTGGGGAAAGCAAAGAAAGGAATATTACAGGGAGGTGAAAAATCTGGCTGGCTGGGAGGAGGGGAAGAGGAGGAGGGGATCTGATTGGGAAACAGTGAAAGGCACCTTTCATCTCATAGGAGCGCAAAGCCTTCTTGAGTTCCTTGGTCACCCTCTCCCTGAAGCCCACCAGCGCCTCCAGGAGGGGAAGGTCTGGGGAAAGAAGGCCCGGACCGCTGTGGAATGGGGACAGCGTGCCCTCCCCAGCTCCCCTGCACACATACCGTCCAAGCACCCCTAATCAGAGATTGTTGGGGAGACCCGGTCTGATGTCAGGGTTTTTTTGTTTTTTTTAGGTCCAGTCGTGGGGCCTGAACTCTGGGCCTGGGAGTTGTCCCTTAGCCCTTCAGCTCAAGGCTAGTGCTCTACCACTTGAGCCACAGTGCCACTTCTGGCTTTTTTTCTTTTTGCTTATGTGGTGCTGGGGAATTGAACCCAGGGCCTCATGCATGCAAGGCAAGCGCTCTACCGCTGAGCCACCTTCCCAGCCCCTGATGTCAGGGTTTTGAAGCCAGCCTCCGCCCCTCCTGTCCCACCTGTCAGAGACTTTGTCCGTAAGTCCTGGGTTTCGTTCTTGATAAGGGCCCTGATGCCTTCCATGCGATCTACTTCTGGGGGTGAGAGGGGAGGACATGCCAGGGGGTCCCCCCTCACTCTGAGAGGATCCTCCCCCTCCTCCCGGCCCCACCCCAGCACACACCCAGTTTCCCCACAAAGGCGTTCATGGCGTAGTCCCTGAAGAAGGGCCCCTCCATGCCGGACAGCAGGGCCAGGGCCCGCTCCTGCAGGCCCTCGGAGGGGAAATGGGCCGGGACGAGCGCGGAGCGCAGCTCCTGCAGGTCCTTCTGCACGGAGGGGTCGCACTGCAGGCAGCCCCAGGCGGCCGGGCCGCCCAGGCCGCACACGACCAGCGCCAGGACCCAGGCTGCAGGCATGGCGGGGAGCGGCTCTGTGACGTCACGGGGTGGGGCCAGGGAGGGCGGGGCCGGGCTGCCAAGGCGCCCGCGCTGGGTGGGCGTGACCTAGGAGCCAGGAGAGTTCCTGGCCAATAGGAAGAAAGAAGGGCTGGGGGCGTGGCCTGGGCGTGGCCGAAGTGGTAGAGTGCTTGCCTAGCAGGTGCAAGGCTCTGAGTTCAAATCCTAGTGTTGCAAGAACAACTGGGCTGTGGATTTTGGAGTTTTTTTTCATACCTTTGGAATTCACGCACTCAGTACACACAGGACATATGTATGTATATACATACACATACACATTCTGTTTTGGGATATTGTCTGTTTTTGGTTTTTTTTCCCTTTTGGTCCTGGAGCTTGAACTCAGAGCCTGGGCACCGTCTCTGAGCTGTTTGGCTCAAGGCCAGTGCTGTACCAGTTTGAGTCACAGCACCACTTCCGGTTTTCTGGTGGTTCATTGGAGATGAACTGAGCTGGCTTTGAACCATGATCCTCAGATCTCAGCCTCCTGAGAGCAAAATATCTCATTGACCATTTTTATAGTAGTTACAAGCTGACTGCCATCTTCCTAGTTACACTTTCTGTAGCTGGAATGACAGATGTGACCGCTATGCACTTTTAGATGGGATGGGAGTATGGTTAAATTTTTCCCTCATCTGGCTTCCAACTCTGCTCCTCCCAATCACTGCTTCCCAATTATCCGGGATGCGCCACAGTACCTGATTCATTTTACTTTCCTGATATGTCTAGAGGAAAGCTTGAAATCACTTAAGGATCTCTCATTGTATTTTGATTGAACATCACTGTCCCAACACAGCTAGTGTTCTTTTTTTTTTTTGTCGGTCGTGGGGCTTGAACTCTGGGCTTGGGCGCTATCCCTGCGCTCTTCAGCTCAAGGCGAGCGCTCTACCACTTGAGTTACAGCGCCACTTCCGGTTTTCTGGTGGTTTATTGGAGATAGGAGTCTCACGGTCTTTCCTGCCGGTCTGGCTTTGAACCGCGATCCTCAGATCTCAGCCTCCTGAGTAGCTAGGATTACAGGCGTGAGCCACCAGCGCCCGGCTACAGCTAGTGTTCTTAATTGATACCATGTGAATTGAATTCGATGGGATAAATTAGCTAGTGTTAAGGAAGGCATCCCTCAGGCGCAATGGGGCCATCACAGCACAAGGGGGCGTGCGTATCCCAGAGAAAGTCTCCTCCCCCGGCAGTAGGGCTTAGCTTCCAGCCACAACACCTTCCAGTCCCAGAGTAGCCTATTGCAGCACCCACGGAGACCACAGCGGGAGATGGGGCCTGAGATGGTGACTGAACCCTCTTCCTCATCTGAGAATTAGGAGCTGTGAAAATGGATGGCACAGCACCCCATCTCAGCTTTAAATGACCCATTTCTCCACCCCCTCCCACATCCTGGGCTGGGCTATGGCTGAAGGGGAAAAGAATAAATCCCATAGTCACCTTAAATGCTTCTGCCCACAAGGGACAAGTGCTGGTTATCCAGTGACATCACACGGCCACACCACACTGCGGGGTGTGAGAATAAGTACTCACCTTAACAATAACAATAAAATTATATTTAAAAAAGAGCAAGTATCCCTGTACCAGCCATTGAGAGACATTCACCAACACTGCTAAGGACTCCCACAATGTCCAAGCTTGGGCCTCAAATCTGGGAGTAACTCAGAGAGATGAAGCTGTCACCACTCCCTATCTGAGGGGTTAGGGCCAGACAGTGTAACAGGCACCTACTGCTGTGTAACAAATCACCACAAACACATAGGGACTACAGACAGCAAGGCCAGGTGCCATGAGCCATGGCTCATGTCTGTAATTCCAGCTACTCAGGAAGCTGAGATCTGAGGATCATGGTTTGAAGCCAGCTTGTGCAGGAAAGACTGTGGAACTTTTTTTTTTTTTTTTTGGTCTTAGGGCTTAAACCTAGGGCCTGGGCACTGTCCCTGAGTTCTTTTGCTCAAGGCTAGCACTAAACCACTTCGAGCCATGGCTCCATTTCCAGATTTCTGGTGGTTCATTGGTGATCAGTCTCACAGACTGTCCTGCCTGGACTGGCTTTGAATCTTGATCCTCATATTTCAGCCTCTTCAGTAGCTAGTATTTTAGGCAGGATTCTTTTTCTTTTTTTGTCGGTCGTGGGGTTTGAACTTTGGGTTTGGGCGCTGTCCTTGCGCTCTTCAGCTCAAAGCAAGTGCTCTACCACTTGAGCCACAGCGCCACTTCTGGTTTTCTAGTGGTTTATTGGAGATAAGAGTCTCACAGACTTTCCTGCCCTGGCTGGCTTTGAACCGAGATCCTCAGGTCTCAGCCTCCTGAATAGCTAGGATTATAGGCGTGAGCCACCAGTGCCCAGCATGGGCAAGAATTTTTATCTCCAGTGAACCACCAGAAAAGCCAGAAGTGGAGCTATGGCTCAAGAGGTAAAGCTCCAGCCTTGAGGAAAAAGAAAAAGAAAAAAAAAAAGAAAAGCTCAGGGACAGCACTCTGACCTTGAGTTCAAGCCCAGGACTGGCACAAAAATAATAATTATATATATAATATATATAAATATATAATATATTTTATATAAATATTTATATAATAAATTTATATAATGAAATATTATATATATATACACACACACACACACACACACACACACACACACATACATCCTGGGATTGAACCCAGGATGTTGCACTTGCTAGGCAAGCGCTTTGCCACTGAGCTACATCCCAGCCCCCAAAATAATTTTTTTTAAGTAAAATGATCACTGTGCTATATGCTGTGTGATTATTGTATAGCCACAGCTGGTGTAACCCAAGGCAGAGGGGGGGCTGTGTCCTGTGTCCCGTCCTCTTCTCCTGTCCAGTGTCTCTCACACCCATGAGGGGACACGGGGACACACCCCAGGGCAGCACCATGCCTGCCCAGATGCCACGCTGGGGGAGATGCCCCACGCCCTGCCCAGGCCACGGCAACCTTTGTGCCCAGCCTGGCTGCCAGCATGAGCGGTGAGCCATAGCTTCAGTGTTGGTAGGAAAATGGAGGAGAATGGACAAGGGAACAGGCCAGACTCGATCATCAACAGGCCAGGACTTTTATTGAGGAACAGTGAGGGGCACAGACCTTTCCACGTGTTTGGAAGTTGTACCAGAGAGTTGGAACAGGAGCTGGGTTTTTATAGGAGGTCTGAGCAAGGAGGCAAAGGTTCATGAAAAAGCCACTAGGTCAAGGAAGGTGGGGGCCTTTCAGTTGGGCCCACAATGGGATGTTTACAGCTGGGCTTAGGTGGAGTGCTCTGGCTACACTTCAAGAGTTCACTTATGGGGCTGGGAAGATGGCTCAGTGGTAGAGCCCATGCCTTGCATGCCTGAGGCCCTGGGTTCGATTCCTCAGCACCACATAAGCAAAAAGAAAAAAGCCGGAGGTGGCGCTGTGGCTCAAGTGGTAGAGCGCTAGCCTTGAGCTGAAGAACTGAGGGACAACGCCCAGGCCCAGAGTTCAGGCTCCACAACTGGACCCCCCCCAAAAAAAAAAAAAAGTTCACTCATACCTAGGATTTTGCCTGGCATCTGAATGGGCCAGGGACAATAGGGTGGGGGATTTAATCCTTCAAGTGTGAGAACTACAGATCACTCTGTGCCTCAGTTTCTGGGGGGAGCGGTGAGGGGTGATTGAGGGTGAACTTCATCTAAGAAAGGTATTTGTACTGGGTGTCGGTGGCTCACACCTGTAATCTAGCTGCTCAGGAGGCTGAGATATGAGGATCATAGTTTAAAGCCAACCTAGGCAGGAAAGTCTGTGAGACTCTTATCTCCAATTAACCACCAGAAAACCGGAAGTGGCTCTGTAGCTCAAGTGGTAGAGCGCTCGCCTTGAGCTGAAGAGCTGAAGGACAGCACCCAGGCCCAGAGTTCAAGCCCCACGACCGACAAAAAAAATAAAATAAAATAAACAAATCCTTTCCCCTTTAAAAAGAAAACAAGAGGGCTGGGAAGGTGGCTCAGTGGTAGAGCCCTTGCCTTGCATGCCTGAGGCCCTGGGTTCAATTCCTCAGCACCACATAAGCAAAAAGAAAAAAAAACTGGAAGTGGCGCTGTAGCTCAAGTGGTAGAATGCTCACCTTGAGCTGAAGAGCTGAGGGACAGCACCCAGGCCCAGAGTTCAAGTCCCACAACTACTACCAACAAAAAGAAGTGCATTTGCATGGGTGAAAATAGAACAATGAAACCAGCCGAAATTGTGTGAAGGGGGAGAAAGACAAGGCAGGGGGCACGGGGAGGTTTTGGGGGGCTGGAGGAGGCCCTGCCTTTGGATCTGGGGGCTGATGTAGGGAAAACCCTGGGGCTGGGCTTTGGTGTCAGGTACAGTTGTGTGTGTGTGTGTGTGTGTGTGTGTGTCTTTCCCCTAAATCCAGGCAGCTGAGAGGGTGGCTGTGACCAGCTGAGGTCTGGCAGACCCTCTCCCCCTCCCCCCCTCCCTGGAATGGGGATCTGGCCGTTCCTCACTCCCTCAGCTGTCCTGGCTTCTCAGGGCTGCAGATCTCATGGATTTGACAGGGCAGAAACATTCTTTCTTGAGTGAGTTCTTAAGAGCCAGTCCCTCCCATTTAATCTGCGCCTTTGTAAACCGGGAAATGAGCTGGGAGAAAAAACAATTAAAGCTCCTCTGAGAAGGGGAGGGGAAGGGAGGGGAGGGGAGGGGAGGGGAGGGGAAGGTACCCCAGGTCTTGCAGAGTTGTGTCTCTCCCAGGCCATCCATTTTTGGGGGGGCAGCCTCCTCTCCACCATTTCCCACCCTCTTCTCTGCTTTGTATTTTACCTCCGTGAGTTACTGATGGGTTTATGTCCTTCATGGAGACCTTCTGAACTGGACTGGGAGGGTTTATTTTTTTTTCAGTTGCGGGACTTGAACTCTAGTCCTGGGCACCGTCCCTGAGCCCTTTTTTGCTCAAGGTGAGAACTCTACCACTTTGAGTCACAGCACCA